AGCTCTTTGTCTAGCAGTTTTTCTTTCTTGGAAGACTTCACCATGGAAGGCCTCATCATGGTAGCCTTTTGCACAGGCCTGTTCTTTCTGTGTTGTAAGGCTCTGCAGACAGAATACATTCTGGTAAAGGGATATTGAAGTCTTCTGTTACAATATACTGAAGTGTTTCTGTGCTACAAGCCAAAAAATCATCCCCTCTGTCTGATAACAACTGTAATAACAATTATTTTATTTTCAGGAAATTCAAATGAAAAGAACAGCTATTGAAGCATTTAATGAAACAATAAAAATATTTGAAGAGCAGTGCCAAACACAAGAAAGATACAGTAAGGAATACATTGAAAAATTTAAACGGGAAGGAAATGAAAAAGAAATACAAAGGTCAGTGTTTATATTTCAAATCGTATGATTTTGAAGAAAGAAACAATGCCAAATATAGATCTGCCTAAAACTAAAGCAAGTTGGCAAGTTTAAAGTTGTTCAGTTGTAAGCACAGCAAGCCTCAAATGGGGTAGATGTGAATTTGCAAAAAGTGTACCTACATCTAGAGAAATAATCTGTTCTCTTAAATGTCTACGTAAGAAAATAGCAGATATAAAGTCATGAATAAGACTTCATCAGAGTATAACCTACCACATTATTCCATTCAGAATTATGCACAACTATGAAAAACTGAAGTCTCGAATAAGTGAAATTGTGGACAGCAGGCGTAGATTAGAAGAGGATTTAAAGAAGCAAGCAGCTGAATATAGAGAGATAGACAAGCGTATGAACAGCATTAAGCCAGACCTCATACAGCTGAGGAAGACAAGAGATCAGTACTTGATGTGAGTATCATTATGAATTAACAGAGTTTTTTTTTTTAACTGGTATCCAACTTCTGTGACTAACAGTTAATTTTATTTGCAATTATTGTCCAGGTGGCTGACTCAAAAAGGTGTTCGGCAAAAGAAGCTAAATGAATGGCTTGGAAATGAAAATACAGAAGAGTGAGTATTAAAAGATTTAAATATTTCTGGTATTTCAAATTATCTTACACAAAAGGTGAGATAAAGCATATTTAATTCCTGGATCACACAGAGGAAATCTCAAGCCTAGGTCTCCAGTAACAATGCACACTGTTAACACACGGCAGCCTACGTCATGCACGTATTAGAAAGGACTCTGTCTCACCCCCTACACTCCATTATTCAGGGAAGTGCATATAATCAAGTTACTATAGCAAAGCACTGGAATGTAACCTGTGTCTTTATTCTTACAAGCAAAATAAAGATCTTAAGGTGTTAGTATCTTATAGAGATGCCATATGGACAGATAAATTGTTCAGAAGATCTCTTAGGCATGGGCAGGCTTTTTCCAGATTTCAAGTGTTGGTATTATGGTGCTATCTAGTATAGTGGTACCCACATCAGTATATCACATTGCTATTGGAGGTGATAAAATTGTATATGCTGAAGAGTGGTCCTCTGGTTTTGTGGTCTGGTTAATTTTTCTGGGAAACGGCAGGATAGTGTTCTGCCATTTCAGCAATTCAGTTTACTATAGGTTCTGACAGGGGCTTGGCTAATGAATACATTTCACTTCATTCCTGGGAAAAAAGCAAAAAG